TCTCCCTTGGTATACGCATAGGCATCGGGACCGTAGCGTTGCCCTGGCTTCCCATCTTACGGATCTAGCTCCGACTTCCCCACCTTAGGAGTCATCTGCATGATTCCCTTACCTATCACCTTCCTACCCTCTGCCGGCCCTCACGCCCTAGTTACGCAGCCCCGCATGCTTCATCTAGGTGCGCGCAGTATACCAGGCTCCCTTGTTCCCTTGCTTGGTCGACCCTCCATAGCGGTCACCCCTTAGCCGAGCTTTACCCGCCTCGATGGTCTATCTGTTAGAGTCATTGGTTCTGTTCGCTCCCTGTTCCCTACCCTCATTGAGCCTGAGGACATGTGTCTCCCTGTTATCTATGTGTGGATGCCCTTAGGAGTTTTCGACCCCTAGGCTGCATTCGCCACCCTCAGAGACCATCCCACCCTTTGGTTTGCGACACACCCCTCCTGTGACGTATGGTTGACTTGTTGTTGCTTGTTGCTCTCAGACTGAGGCTACTGCCTCTGACATTTCTAGGATTTAGTTGTTCTGCTTTTGTTGTTCTTAGGACTTATACACTAGTCAGCTGTTACCAGACTGAGGCTAGTGCCTCCAACATTATAGGATCTAGTTGTCACTACTTCCTGCTTTTCTAGAACATGTATGCTAGTTAGTTGCTTTGCTTTCCTAGGACATGTATGCTAGTTAGTTGCTTCTACTTTTATCTAGGTTGTTAGCTGTGACATTGCTGTTTTGTGACATTTTCTAGCCTAGGTTGCATCGCATGGACTCATCATGGAGCTTGCTCCGCATCCTAGACTACTCAGGTTTTTCTTTTTCTTTGGTAGAGTTCCGCTTCTTGACGGACGCTTCTTGACGGAAGCGTGTTTGTATCTAGGCGATCCATCACAGGCCGAGGATCGTGTAGCGGACCTCTGGTTGGGTGGCCTGTGAGCCTGTTCTCACAGGCCTGTGTTCTATTTGGGGGCAGTCCAGTCCAGCCCAGTCTAGGCCGGTACCTGTCGGTACCGGCCAGTCCAGTCCAGTCCCGTCAGTCCGCTGGGGTATACCCCAGCAGTTGTCTGTTTTCAGCCTCATTCTTCACTTGCACATTTTGGAGTACGTGCGTTGGAGTCTTGCGTGGGGAGCTGCGCTGTGCACCTTGCTCCCTCCTTCTTCCTCCATCTCCATCTCTGTCACTAGAGGAGCACCACACCTGGTGGGTCCGCTACACCGTACGCAGACGCCCTCCAGAGTCACTTCGCACAGCAGGCTCGCCCTCAGGCTGTTCCCCCCGTCTCGACCTCCAGCGCAGCACCCACGTAGCCGCGATGTCTCATTCCCCAGACCCTCCTATGGTAGCAGGCATACTTGTTCGCAACTCTACCTTTGCGCCGCTTGCTACTCTTCCCGACGACTTTGGCCCGACCTTATCCTTGGCTGACACTACCGACACTGGTATACCTTCTCCTTCTTCGCCTAGGGTCTCTCGTGACCCCCCTCCTCCACGTCCTCCTACCTGATGTGCTCTTCGCACGGCCCGCTGCAGTGCTTCCCTTATTGTAGTTGAGGATATCATCGACTTCCTGGACCTCGAGTGTGTTAAGGTCCGTCAGGAACGTATCCGCCTTAAAGAGCGCACCCTGTCCGCGATGTCTCAGCGCCTACACAATCCCGATCGCACCTTACCGATTATTTTGGTGCGCCTCGGGACCTCTACTAGAGTGTATCGCGCACTATGGGACTCTGGCTCTACAGGCGATGCCATTCATCCTCGCGTAGTTAAGGAGGCATCTCTCTACATGTCCCCTTACCCTTCCACTGTCACTGTCACGCTTGGTGACAATCAGGCCAAATCCTTTGTGGACTTTATGGTGCCTGATCTTCCATTCTCCTTCCTCTTGCGGATGCCCCATAACCTTCGCAAGGCCCCTCGGTTCCATGGCCAGTGGACCTTCGACGTTATGGAAACCCTATACGATCTTGTTTTCGGCACTACCTACTCGCACAAGTTCACCCATGCCGGCCTCGATTGGAACCACAACGATCGCATCCTCGACGCCAAGGATCGGAAACAATATCGTATTCTGTTGTTGGGCAAATCGGACTCTACACTTCCCCCCCCCTGTTAATGCCACCATCTGTACACCTACCGAATTTCATCACTTCCTTGGTAAGTTTGATGTCGAACTTTATAACGGTGTTTTCGTTAAAAGTGACATTGTTTTCATGTTCACTTTTTATTTTAATTGTAAAATGACACAAAAAACCGAGGGAAAAATAAGCAAACAACGAGAAAACAATGGTTGTACATGAAAGCTGTTGAAGGAAATTAAACACAAATTTTCACCTCGAATGTTCACACGTACACAAGCTGCAAAAATGTCACTCAAGGATTGGCAATCCACTCCGTAAACATGTCATTCAGTAAAACACGCCAACCTCATCAACAACTGATGAGAAGTCTAGGAAATGTCATTATACATTGTCAACATATTTTCAAAATTGCCTACAATACACATTTTCACTCGGAATGTTCACACTAAGTAAACATGTCAACCTCATTTTTTCAAACCTATAACCTGAAATTCTCATCGACTTTCCTATCTAACCATGGACAAAATGTCAAATGCTATTCTAAGTCTCATATCAAGAATACTATCTTGTGAGAAACCGAACGGAGGGAAGTGACCTTTTGCAAACAAAGATGCAAAACCTAACATAAAAACACCACAACTAGAAGAATCCTCTTGAGCAGGAATCCCATCTACCGATGTATCAAAGTAGGATGTAGGCTCCTCCACATGATATTTTTCCCGAAGATTTTGTCGTTGAAACTGCGCTCTGAAAAAACCTGCCAAAAGTTCGAGGGTTGGACCGTAGTCAATACGATGGAGAGAGTCTACGAGGCGAAATTTACATTCATAGCGATCTTTACTGACAATGATTTCCGAAATGGAGAGGGATAATTACCAAATCAAAATTGAAAAGATTTATGTCCTTCACCAATTTCATCCCTTCGGAGTATGCGATTTCAGCGGACTGAGCTTTTGACAATCTGGGAAAGAAAAAAGAATTTAGAATATGCACAGATGGAATGCTACAAGAACTTTCATCTTTTGCCACTTCTGCACATGTCGAATCCACCTTCTTGATGTAGTCATTGGTGATCTGAACGACTAGCAGGTACAAATTGACGACTTCATCATTTAACCATTCCCCATCTTTGGCGGCGAGCATGACGTCTTTCTTTTTCACCTTCCACCTCCTCTTGTAATCGACAATGCCGTATTCTTCATTCTCTTCAGTGTTGTCGGTAATCATTTCAAGATACTCCTTTTCTTCTACAGTATGGCGTACTGTTGCTAAAGGAATCTGGAACGAAGGGTCATGCACTGCATATAAACACACATATAAACAACAATAGAGCGACTAAGACTTCACACAAAAACAAGTGATAGATTACGTAGTATGAACTCATATTGTTGGTTGTCTATCTGTTTCGTCACCAGTGCTGCTATCCATAACAGATAAACTGCAACCTGCGCGATGCAATTTCTTCCCTTCTGTGAGGCTTATTCCAACAGCTTTAAAAATTCTTAAGGCAGCTGGCTTCACAGATGAAAATGTCATGGGTGTATGACTTCTTCTCTCATTTTTTGGCAATAACGGCAAAGTTGACAAAGCTTGCAAGCCACGACGAATGATATTCTTCTCTCTCTTCCTTTGCGAGTGTACATTTGTCGTTTTCCACAGTCTTTTTCGTCGCCCTGCATGATTGACAAAATAAAACATACTGAGTTACAAGTCCGATTTTTCGTTGTTGAAACTGACTCATGAATACCAATACAAAATATATGGCAATTGCACTAAGTCTTCATACAAAACAATTGCAGTATTTCTTTTCAGAAAACGCACAATTTCAAAGCTAGGTAAATAAACAATACATCTGAGGGATCGACACAATGGGAAATGAGTGCATGTGATGTACCCACTAATCCGCATATAGTATTAGATATTGCTCCTAAGATAAGAAAGTGCTCACCTCGATGGCTAACTCTCAGTTTTTCTTCAACACGACCTTCTGTCACACCTTCCATATGCAATGGCGCAATAGGAGATTCATCGATAGCTATCATGAGGTTAGTACACTGTGGTGTTTGAGGTTGTTCAAGCGTTTGTTGAGGTTGTACAAGTACAGCTTGCTCCGGTGTACTTAGTACTATATGTCCTTCATCCTCTTCGATGCCTTGTACATTGAGAGTTTCTTCCTCCTTTACGCCCTCAAAAGTGTCCTGGAAAGTGCTGCTTACTTCGGTTGGCATCGTCGACGACGGCATCTGCAATTCTGTGAGTGTACCAGTAATATCCACTTCCATAGCGACATTATCGCCCACTAGTATCGTAGTCGTCCAAACTTGGTCAGTTGTACTCACGCCCTCGCAACTCACGCCGCCTTTTCGTCCCGAAGTTTTGGCACACGCACCGACAATCGATCCCCATTGCTGTGTCGGGTTGGACTCAACCACGAGTTTCTCCGCTCGGTCAAGCTGGGAGCGCTCCAATAGTAGACCCCTGTCATGTTCGACTTGACCGTGTGACCCTTCGACAGGTGAAACAATATCGATTGGTCCCGAAGCCTTGCCACTTGTACCGGCGATTGATCCCGATCCCACTGTCGGGTTCGACTCGACAGTGAGTTTCTTCGCTTGGTTAAGCTGCGAGCGCTCGAATGCTGGATGAGTGTCGTGTTCGACACGACCGTGTGACTCTTTGACAGGTGAAGCACCGTCGATAGTTGTACTGCCCCCCCGTGGTCCCGAGGCCTTGTCAGTCGCACCGGCGATCGTTTCCAATCCCACTGTCGGGTTCGACTCGACCGTGAGTTTCTTCGCTTGGTCAAGCCGGGAACGCTCCAATGCGAGGCCACTGTCATGTTCGACTCGACCGTGGGACCCTTGGACAGTTGAACCACCACTCGATCCTGATCCCTTGCGCTCTGTTTCTTGAGGCCCCTGAGACCCTTCGACAGTTGAACCACTGCCGCTTGGTCCTGTAGGTTTGCCATGCCCACCCCCGCTTGGTGCTGATCCCTTGCCTTCTGTTGCTTGACGCCCCTTAGACTTTTCGGTTTGTTGTCGTTCCCCACGACTTGCGTCCTTGCCGCTTGCACCGTCATTTGGTTCCGGACCCTTGTCACTTGCACCGCTCCCCGATCACAATCCTTTGCCATGCGCACCTCCGCTCGATCCGGATCCCTTGCCATGGTCACGACCGCCACCTGATTTTTTCCTCTCCCCAAGATCTTCTCTGACATGCCAATAAAATCCATAAGCCGGGCTGGTTTGTCTATCATAGAACTCTTCCAGATACTCAAGCCACTGCGATGTTTTGAATTCTTGAAAAATTTCTTCTGTTCTTACATCTAGTCTTGATTGAGAAACCTCCAGATTAAGTCGCGGGAGTCGCTTGGCAATCTGATTTTTGGCATGTTTCAGAAAGTTCGATCCTGACATACGTCTGTGGAGGCAAAACTGCCACTCCCCTTCTTCTTTTATAGCCATAACCCACCTCCCTCTCGCCAATGCAGGTTGAAAGTGTTGGGGGTGCCATATAATGTGATGACCCCATGTGGCATCATCCGTCACCGTATAATCGTCTCGGCACACTATAGGCCCCGGAAGCAGTCGAATGTCTGCAGGGATTGTGTCTCCAATCTCGTACGCCAAAGGCTCATCAGGTGGAGGTTGTTGTGGAGTTCGAGAGTGTAGCAATTCTATAATAGTACTTGGGCTGTGTGCAAATGGTGCCAGAGTTGCCACCAACTCTGGGGAGAGCATTGCTAGAAGATTCGGATCCAGACTGCCTCTTGATGCCGGCGTCATCGTATTCCCCGCCATCTGAGTCGGTGTAACAATAGAAGAAGTCGGCCGCTGAGTCATGAACTGATCCGTTGAAACCGCCATGCTCGAAGCTCCTCCAGAACCGGACGATGTGCCTGGAACACCCATTCTCTGCGAATGCGAAGCCGGGCTACAAGCTCTTTGCCTCTCAGCTGTCAAAGTCGCTTGCAAAGTGTCATCAACACTCTCTTCTTCTGAGTCGTCGGCATCAAAGTCCTCACCATCCACAAAACAAGTCGCATAACCTGCGATTGTAAATGCCCCGATTTGTTGGTCGAAGTACATTGTCTCCCAGCGGTCGAGAAATGAAACCTCCCTCTCCGATGGTGCTTTATGATAACCCCTCAAGAGTTTCTCCACTTTTATTCTTCTGAGGACATAAGTACGTTCCCCTCTGTCTTGCGGCTTTGTTTCGAAGAGAAACTCCCAAATATTGACCACATTTTGGCCAACCTTGTAGACGAGATCACGCCCTTCATCATGCCGAGGAGGCGGCTTAGTAAAGTTGGTGTAGTAATCTCGAGTTTTGACCATCTTGTCAATGAACTGAGTGAGGAACTCGAACTTCATACCCTCCCCTTCCAGCACAATGCAATGAGGGTGACTCTTTAACAGCTCCCAAACCAATCCCGCATGATTTTTCCGAGGAAAACGACAGCCTCATCCGCAGGACAAAAATGCTCCATTGTCTCCACCATCGCATTCGGCTCCCTTTCCATACCATCATAGACCACTTTCTCCAGTGGATCCATACCTGCCATTTTCCACTTTGATGATAGAAAGTTCTTTTCCACGACATCAGTCAACATCTTCGGCTTTCTCTCTCCGCACAAGTGCCGATATGTCAGCCACCCGCTCGGCAGATGATGGACCTGCAACTTGAATATCTTCAAACAAGGGAATAGTATTGCGATGAAAATCCCCGTCGTTGGAGTACATGATGACCACAATTCTATTTGTGTCCTTCAAAGGCAAGTTTGCAACCTTATACACTTTCCCCTTTGTTTGTTGTAGACGAGTCCATTTGTGAAGATTCAAGTGAATGTCCCACATCGCGACCCGCCTCAAGAATGTGAACTCGCAAGGGCGTGGAACGAGGCACAACAATGTCCAATACTCGCCGCCAAGTTTGTCCATGAACTTTTTGAGTTCATCAAACACTTGTTCAGTCCACGCACCCATTTGGGTCGGGCGACACAAATCCAGGACGGCTGTGTGGCACGTCAGGTGTCTGACGACTCTAAACATCTCCTTGCAATCCATCTTGTCTGAAACGTCGCTCGGTTCCCACTGAAACGGCACGAATACAAATGTCACGTCCTGTTTCTGGAAATATATATCTCGCTTGTTCCGACATACGAATGCTATGCGAACCCCCAGTTTCAGATCTACGCAACAACTTGTTGACAAATTGAATGAACTCTCTGGGGCATTTGTTTGCAAGCGATTTTGTTTTCTTGAAGCCCTCCTCTCCTTTCTCATCCTCGCTTCCAAGTGTAGCCGGAAATGACCGCACCCAACTCGTTTCTTTGAAATGCCGTCGCTGGTCGATCCACCTCTCCAATGTCAATCCTTGATCACAATACTTAGCGAACAAATCAGAAAGGTTGTCGAAGAATGGTTCCTTCCACTCTGACGGCTTCTTGTGAGGGTCAGAAATGAAGACGAAGTAGTGAAACATTCTCAATATTGCTCTTTCCTGCTTCACCACTTCCACGTATGTCTCCATCGAATGTTTCTCGGCAGTGTGAGCAACTTTACTTAGCCTTGAAGCCAGTATGACACTTCCCGCAAGAATGTCTCGCAACAGCTGAAGCCTCTCACGCCTCCCCAACGTAGACATAGCCTTCCATGATCTGACATCCGGATTGCGCATCCACGAGGTAACTAGGTCCTCTAGTACCCTGACTCCAGTGCACTGGAACCTTGACTCCTTTTTCCAACTCGTATCCGGGGCCAGGTCTCGACGCTTTCCCCGATTCACCTTGTTTGGTGGCAGGCTTCACACCATCTCTCCCCGACAACTGTCCACTCTCCCAAGCAGAATACACTTGTTGCACCTTCTCGAATATATTGTCCGTCGCCCTTGCCAATACCATGTAAGGCCCGAGGAAGTCGGACCACTCCTTGCTCCAAGCCTGAAGTTAAAGAGTAACCAAATGATCGCTCCCGGTCGCGCGCAGAGCCATCGCCGCAAACTCTTTGTAATCCTTATTTTTGACGTCTGCAGCAGATCCGCCTATAGCTTTTGGACGACCGGCTGCTTGCCACAACTTTCGTATGTTCTTAACGATAGGAATTTGGTGCGAAGGAGTATTTCATTTGTCCTTCGCATTTTGGAAAGTGCTCAAGGTGCAGTAATTCTCCATGCTCCTATCCGGATAGTAAACAGGCCTTGTAGTCCAGCAATCCAAACGGAGCTCACGGGCGAGGTCAGGGCGTTCTTGAGAACATTTCCTCGCCGCCCCAACATTGTGTTGACCACTGAGAGGGTACCAGTAGTACTTGGGCACCGATTGGAGATCGAATTCGCCGGGCGTCACTCTTCTCGCCCTCACATTCGTACCAGAAGCGTCAGTATGCATTGTATCATGTAGCCCAATCAACAAAAGGACAGGCTTCTCGTACAATGCACATACATTCACCCCGGCTGCCACGGTCGTTCTCTCTCTGATAGCTGCCTCACCCGACTCAACCATTGTTTTGTAAAGGTCATCAATAAGCTCCTGATCGAGGAAGCGTTGATTATATCTGAATTCCTCATCAGGGATATCCAGAATCCTGTCCAACTTGACAGAAATGAACTGCATTTTCGGCCTCTGTTTATCATTCTCGTCGAACTCAAGGAAGAAGCCTTTGCTCAGATGAGCAGAAGAATTCCCAGGCGGCAGAATCTGCAAACCGGGCGGTCTCGTGACTGTCTTGCCCACAGCGTCTCTATCCGACTGTGGCTGGTCCGGTGTAAAAACGAAAGTTTTTTCCATCACACCTCCCTTCGCTGCTTTTTTCCTTGGCTGCCGTTTTTTCTTCATGGCCTCCTCAGCCTCCCTCGTACGTTGGACGGCCTCCTCAACTGCCAGCATTTTCAACTTGCGTTTGCCCTTCTCTTGCTTGGCTCCCCCCTCCTGCTTGGTTTTCTTACTGTCCAAAACACTTCTCCTCTCTTGCCTGTTCTTCCTTTTTTTCTCAGCTAGTCGGACTGCATCGGCATGCACCGGCTCGACCCCAACTTCGCGGTGCATTTCCCCGCGCTCTGGATCCGCTCCCCAATGCCCATGACCCGACGCGAGCAGCTGCGTTCGTTTGGAACCCCAATGCACATCTGCATACCCTCCCTCGCCGGTCGTTTCCCCTTTTTGCCCTTCGTCCTCATACTCAACCCCTAGACGACCCTCCAATTCGCCCGGCCCACCCCTCTCGCTGATTGTGTGTTCTCTCTACTTCCTCTTCTCCGCCACCCTCCTCATATTCTTCGCGTTCTTCATCGCGCTCCCAATCTTCCTCGCTGTTCTACTCGTTGTCATCTCCAAAATAATGCGACCCAGCAGGAATGACCAACTCATAGCGCGGCGGGGGGACCAAGGAAACGGGTTCCTTGGTTGATGTTGGTCTACGCTTCACAGGGGCTGACGGCACGATTTGCCCGCGACACGGACCTCTCTCCCCGATCTGCCCAGATTTCGGAACTCGTGTTGCAGCAACCGTAGTCCGAAGCGATGGCGTTGGGCGGACACCTATAATGATTGGTTTCGACGACAGAGCCGCCTCCGCAGCAACCGTAGTCCGAAGCGATGGCGGTGGGCGGGCACCTATAATGATTGGTTTCGACGACAGAGCCGCCTCCAAAGACGACGAAAGCACGCTTTTCGGTTCAGATATGCGGTCGGAAGCATGCACCACCGGCTCATGCCCTGTGACCATATTTTTGTCGAAGAATGTGAAAACCGCTCGAAGGTCCGGCAACGCCAATTTCTTCGTCCCGGACGGAGCGAAAATGTCATAAAGCTTCTTGTCGTACCCAGCGTGTTTGGCCCAACGAAGAGCAACGCGTTTGACATTCGCCATCCGCTCACCTCTAGCGTTAAGAACCACTCCAACATGGCGAACTGTGAATTTCCTCCACTCCACTTCACCACACCGCCAATCGGAACAATGTTATCTTTGATCACCACGTACAAAACCAGCACACCCGAGGGTTCCCTGATTCCACCCACCCAGTCCAACATCCAACACCTGTCTTTGTGGTCGACGACAGGAACCTCGTCTCCCACACCTGCAACGGACGTCTCACCATACCTTCTACGCCTGGACACAACGTCCATCGTAGATTTCCCCTGCCGACCAGTAGGCTCCTCTTCTCGACCCCTAGCCCCACCAGTCATCAGCACAGCCGAATCCGGTTCCAAACCTCGAACATGGGCGGAAGGAGTGCCCGTAGAAGGTGCACCCCGCAGCACCGGGGTTCGGTGGCCCTTTGACCCCGGTGTGTCGCCAGCCCCCACCCCAGCCGTTGGTGTCCCCTTCGGTTTTTTCGGAGACTGCTCCATGATCCCGGAACCAGTACTAGTACGTCGTTTGCTTGGCTTCCCCTCGCGATCCATGTCGAGCAGCTAGTCGTAACTGAAGAAAATGCACAAGCAAGAAAGCAGTCATTGCTTTGCCAACGTGCAAACACCACAGCACTTGAGAACAAGTATAGACAGGAACACAGAGCAACGGAAGCGGGCCGCAGCCCGCCAGCTCGTCGTCGTTTCACTGTCGTGTCAAACTCGACGGCCGTGCCACGACGTCCTCCAGTACCGTCGAATTCGACACGAGAGCGACATTGCGGTGTCGTCGTGTCACTATCGTGTCGAACCCGACGGCCGACCAACTCGTCGTCCTACTCGACGTCGAGCTCGGCACTGTGCGGGCTGACCAACCGTCGTGTTGGACACGACAGCTAGAATGTTGTCTGTCGTGCGACAGTCGACCAAGCGGCCCTTCATGCACCGTCTGGTCGCCAGATAACAGTGTCCATGTCGTGTTCGACACGATGGTCGCCAACCGGTGCCTGAAGGGGAGCTGACCGTCGTGTTCAACACGACAGCGACACTGTCGTCTGCCGTTCGACAGTCGACCACGTGCCCCTTTGGGCACCGTCTGGCGACCATCGTGCCGAACACGACAGCGACACTGGGGTGTGCTGTGCGACATTTGTCGTGTTCGACACAATGGTCGGCGGACGGTGCCTAAAGGGGCACTTGATCACGAGAACACAAGACAACAGATCGCAGGCACTGGTTAACACGGAGAAACATTGACTGCTGAATGTTTGTGCACGCAAGACATCAGAACAACGAGTTTTTTTTCCGAAAGGAAACACAACATGAGAACAACAATCAAACACACGGCTGGCAGCGATGTGTCGGTGTCCACAGCCAAACCAAAAACACGTGTCATCATTCCCGGGTTGCAATGTATCGAAAAACAATATGAGGACAACAACGTCAACCGTGTGTACTTTTGGCCACTGAACACATGATGAGAACAACTAGCAGATACCGCGTATTGTTATCGAAATAACACATTTAGAACAGCAATCGCAATGCGAATTTCACGAGGCTATCTATTGGCTACGGGGAACAATGTCGCCGTTGTGGCCATTGCGGCCATTCAGTATGCCGTTTTGGACATTCAGTATGACGAAGGCTATCTACCGACTACGGGGAACAATCCCGCCGTTGCGGCCATTCAACACGCTAATTGGCGATCCGAAGGTCAGCTGCTGCGCCGTCTCAGCAAACACCGAAATGTATGTCATTCGCACAAACCCGGAGTTCCCGACGAGAGAAGCGCCTATAGCATCCCGAATTTAAACGACTTTAGCCTCGACCTCGCGCCATGCGACAACGTCCTCCACCTGGGTACCCACCACGATATCCAGTCTCCCATCTACCCTTCTTTGAACTAAACACATATCCCTCCCGGACATAGACAACTCGTTCCTAGACACATACACGACAGCATCGGTCAAGTCTCTTGCCCTGCTCGAAACGACAATATAGAGAACCCTACAGAAGATAAAGTATGCCAGACGCAATCTCACAGAACAATACGAAACTGCTCCTGGCGACAGACCGGGAGATCTCAATGGATAATGATCGAGGAACTGAGAATGTCGCGCACAATCGAGTAACTCCTGTTTCATAACACGGCACCAGGTGCGAGGCGAGGTTGTCACGTATTTGCAGTCTAAAACCCCGACAACACGGCTTATTTTTAGTTTTTTACACAGTAGCGGCAAGCGCACGGGACGCAGCACATCGAATGGCACGGGAATGCATTTGCCGAATTCGAACATATTCACGAACTCATAATCGCACGCCCACGGGCATTTCTCTGTCATGTTCACCCACTCGCACTCCTCCCACGAGTCCAAATGTTTGTCGCCAAACGGGAGGATTCTCATCCAAGGGTCGCATTCGAAGTCTTCTAGACAAGCGCCTTCATAGGTTACGCTGCCCTGACATTGCCGGACATACAGCGCGCAAGGCGGGAAAGGGTGTGCCTTGCGTGCACGCCAAAGTGTTGGGGTCATATTAGAGATCTCCATAGCAACAGTGAATAGAAGACGCCCTGCACGGCACAAGGGCAACAGTCAACAGCAGCAATAGAACAACCAATAGCAGCATAGAACTATTCACCCCGCTCCCCCCAACAATGGAAACAAACCAGGCCGCACGACAGCACAATGCATAGAATCTACGTGCGCAATCCACGCCCATAATTCCACGCATACAACCCATGCACGATCTTCTAGGACACGACGCACACGGCCCATAGCACAGTTAGCACTGCACACAATCATGAACGATTCGATGACATTGCACCACGCACAATCTTGTTCCACTAGAGGACAGGGAAGGATCGTGTTCGACTCGACGACAGGGCACTCGCCTATCGTGTTCGACTCGACGAACTCAATTGACGATCGTGTTCGACTCGACGATCGTGTTCGGCTCGACGATCGTGTCGAACTCGACGATCATGTTCGACTCGACGAATGCAATCGACGATCGTGTTCGACTCGACTATCGTGTTCGACTCGACTATCGTGTTCGACTTGACTATCGTGTTAGACTTGACGATCGTGTCCGACTCGACGAATGTGTTCGATTCGACGATCGTGTTTGACTCGACTATCGTGTTTGACTCGACGAACGCAATCGACGATCGTATTCGACTCGACTATCGTGTTCGACTCGACGATCGTGTTCGACTCGACGATTGTGTTCGACTCAACGATCGTATACGACTCGACGATCGTGTACGACTCGACGTGTTCGACTCGCCTATCGTGTTCGACACGACTATAGTGTTCGACTCAACGAACGCAATCGACGATCGTGTTCGACTCGACTATCGTGTACGACTCGACGATCGTATCCGACTCGACGATCGTGTTCGACTCGACGATCGTTGTTCGACTCGACTATCGTGTTCGACTATTTGATAGTGTTCGACTCCTCGATAGTGTTCGACTCGACGATCGGTCACTGTCATGTTCGACTCGACGATCGGTCACTGTCGTGTTCGACTCAACGATCGGGCAGTGTCGTGTTCGACTCAACTATCTTGTTGGACTCAACGATCGTAGTGTCGTGTTCGACTCAACTATCGTGTTCGACGAGACGACCGGGCAGTATCGTGTTCGACTCGACGATTGGGCAGTGTCTTGTTCGACTCAACTATCGTCTTCGACTCGACGATCAGGCAGTGTCGTGTTCGACTCGACTATCGTGTTCGACTCGACGATCGGGCAGTATCGTGTTCGACCCGACGATCGTGTTCGAGTCGACGATCGGGCACGATCGTGTTCGACTCGACGATCGTGTTTGACTCGACGAGCGTGTTCGACTCGACAAGCAGACATCGGGCGCGATCGTGTTCGACTCGATTGTCGGGCACTGTCGTGTTCGACTCGACGATCGGGCACGATCGTGTTCGACACGACGATCGGACACGATCGTGTTTGACTCGACGATCGGGCGCGATAGTGTTCGACTCGACGATCTGGCACGATCGTGTTCGACTCGACGACTGGAAGTGCCACGTGGCTTTACGTGGTTGCATCTGGGCTGCGTGGTTGTGTCCTCACCGTCCGATCCTTCAAACTCGGGGTGCTCTGCTGTGGTTGTGCGTCGCGATCTTGGGCCGTATGTTCGCTCCGTCGTCGCACTGAACACGCCTCTCGACAGCGCTGTGGTCCGCCGTCACGTCGAGCAGGTGGTCTGCTATGCACAGACCGAATCCCTGCGCTCCGTTGCCACGCTGTACACGAGCCTCCACTGCGCTGCGCTGTGGCACGAGCCTCCGCTGTGCTGCGCTACTGCTGTGTTCCCGAACTGAAACGACAATGGGAACTGGTGGCCCTCCCTCATATATATAGTTTTTCAGGAGGGCCCTTCGCGGGCACCTGCTGGCCGTTCGATCCGGGGATACTGACGGTCGGGATGTTCCAATGGGGAGTGGTGGGCCTGCCTCATATATGTGGTTTTCCAGGTGGGCCCTCCGTGCGCGCCTGCTGGCCATCCGATCCGCGAATACGGACGGTCCGATCCGGGAATATGGACGGTCGGGACGATCCAATGACTGCAGTCGGCCGTGATCGTTTTCCCCCCTTGGCCAGAGCGGAGGCGCGGGGATGACGTTCAGCTGCAGAGCAGAAATTCGATTCACGCACATGAGTACCCGCGACATTGTGTCATTGTTCGCATTCTGGGAGAATCAGCGCAGTGGTCCGCCAACGTCAACACGACAAGTGCCCCGCTCTCCAGGTTAGTGCCGCTTCGGCCAACACGCCCCCGCGAGAGAAAGAGAAAATCCTCCGTGGACGGCCGTGTCCAGTGCTGGTTTATCGGTGACGTCAACAAGTTTTCTCGAACACTTTCACCGCAGTCGTCGTCGTGTCGAACACGATGGTCGACACGGTCTTAGTCGTGTCGAACACGATGGTCGTCGTGTTGAACACGATCGTTGTCGTGTCCGACACGCTGGTTGTCATGTCAAACACGATGGTCGTCGTGTTGAACACGATCGT